AGAACGGCCCGTTCTGAAACCGGAACGGGCCGTTCTGGGTGCACTTTTGGTGTGTTAATTTTGCATCCGGAACAGCCCGTTCCAGGTGCAAAATTAACACACTGAAAATGCAACCAGAACGGCCCATTCCGGTTTCAGAACGGGTAGTTCTGGGTCCAGGTGTTTTAAAAAAAAACTCTCATCCACGTGGCATCCACGTATGCATCTACGTGGCGTCCACGTGGCCAAAAGTTAACACCGTTAAAGCAATTTGGACGGAAAGTCCCACATTGAAACCAATTAATTAATTTGGGTATTTTGAGTATTTTGTCTTCAAGTACTTCCTCCCCTTTCACACTTATTGAAAACACAACATTAAATTTAGTATTTTGAAAAATATTTATTTTAGTATTCTAGAAAGTACTTTTTAGAAATGTATTGATTTACATGATTCCATAAAGTAGAAATTAGTTTTCGAAGAAAAATTAAGGTTTAAAATAAGTGTTTCAAAAAGTATTTTTCGGAACACTAAATTTAATATTGAGGCTGAAGTGTGAAAGGAGAGGAAGAAAAAACAGGTGTCTAGCTTGACATCTTTAACATTATTGAAGAAACAACACATATCTACAATGTTATCGTGCACAAATTTTATGATTCGGATGCGTGAAAAAATTGAAAGTTTGAGAGAGGAAGAGAATAATGTGAAAAATAAAAAAGAAAAATCTACCTACTAAAATAACTGAAAAGTGACAAAAAGGTAAATGACTGCATATAAAAAAATAATAAAAAATAATAAATAAAAAAAAGGTGTGTAAAACATAATGAAAAAATGTTAAGACGAACGTTGGAATGAGGGAAAATAAAGTGTGTATGTAAAAATTGAACATTAAAGATGTGAAATTAAAAAAAAATAGAAAATATGAAAAAATTAAGGATAGTTTACCAACTTATTTTAAGAAAAAGAAAAGAAGTGAACTTATTAAAAAAAAACAGTGAAAAGTCCATATATCGTGAACCTTTTAACTTAATGTTAGGCTTGGTATTTTTTGAATCTAACTTTTAATGGTTCGGGCTGATCTGTCTGAGTGGGCCAAATTTATTAGGCCTTTTTTATTTTTGAAAACAAAACACCCAATTTGATAGATTGGTCAACCTCAAGATAAAAATTAAAACCATCAATGCGGTATTTCAGTTATAGTTTTTATTTGTTCTTTATAGTCATCGGATACTTCTACAAGACTTTAACATTCTTAGTTTACATTTTGTTTATATTTTTAAATATTTCCGGGAAAATTAAGAATAAACATAACAGTCGTGTTTTCTCCCATTTGTAACCTATTTAATAAATATTAGTGATTTGCAGCAAGATCTAGGATTAGTGTCCTAATTTCCCACAAAATGAGGATGCATGAGATAAGTTTTTTTAAAATAATAAATAAATAAATAATGTACAACAATGATGATTAATTAAAAAATATTAATTAAAGTTGTAATAAAACATGGGTATATAAAATAAAGACTTAACAGCAAAATACAGTTTGTTTTTATTTTTATAAAATTATTGTTAATGTGAGACCCGTGGCTGTCCCCCCTTCTCCCTCTCAACTCTCTTTTCTCACTCACTCTCATTTTTGCCTTATTATCTCCTTGTCTTTGGTCTGATCTTGTTCTCTTTTTCCCCAAGCTGAAGTTGTGAGCTTAGGTGGTGCACATCTCGTGGAGCTTGCTGAGGAGTAGAGCTTTCTTTTCTCCTTCTCCATTTTCTCTTTCGTTTCTCCTTCCCGGAAGCTCGGATTCTTCGCACCGAGGTAAGGGAAGCTAGTTTTCGCTTGGATTGGTTGGAAATGAGTTTAGAAACTCATGAGATGTTTGATGTTGGCTGATTCATGGGCTGTCTTGAAGGAAAATGTGTTTTCGGGGTTGGATAAAATTTGGGGATTTTCTGGTTGTGTTGGTTGCATGTGGGTAAAGTTGGGGTTTTTGGTTTATTGATGGAAGGTTGGACATTGATGATTTTTCTTCTTGAGTTTTGGATGCATGCATGTTGTGATTCTTGAGGTTTTTGGGTTGCATGTGGTTGGTAGTATTGCATTTAAGTTGTAGCATGGTTTGGGTCTCCTTGGATTGCAAGTTCATGGAGGTTTTGAGTGAAAACGAAGGTGAAATCCAAGGAGATTTTTGGAAGTTCAGAAACCCACAGCTATAGCCGTGGAATCACAGCTATAGCCGTGGAAGAAAAATGTACTTGCAGGAACCCACAGCTATAGCCGTGGATTCGCAGCCATAGCCGTGGGAAGGAAAAACGTGATGGCAGAGACTTGCAGCCATGGCTGTGGCAGCTAAAACGCTGGATTGGGCGCTGCAGCGGTGGGTCTTGATGACCGAATTTGGTCTTAAAGTCTTCATCAAAGTTGTAGCCTTGGATCTTAGCTTTCCAATGGCGTTGGAATCACCCAAAAAAGAGTTATAGAACTCCAAATATGGCTGTTATAGTGAAGAGGGGTCAAGCTGCCAGCATTGCTTATAGCTGTTGCGGTTTTTAGAGTTTTTAACAAGGTAGATGAAGGAATTTGGACTTAACAGCAAAATACAGTTTGTTTTTGTTTTTATAAAATTATTGTTAATTCTACCTCAACCCTCCATTACTAAAAAAAGTTACAATAATCAATTTATGTTTAAATCTTATTATCATTAATATAATTTATTTTAATAATAAAAGATAATTTATCTTTTTTTAACATAATAAATTTATCTCATACCATTAGTATACTTCACAATACAATAGGAGATGTTATGAAAATCAATGAGACATGTTTGGTTG